TTAATTGTGAGTTTGTATGTCTCGGGATTTGAATGAAAACGTTTGTTTCAGGGCAGTAGGGTTTCTGGATACCAGCAGGCGTCACATTACCAGACCGGAGATCAGTTAGTTGCAATGTGGAGAGTAATAAGTGTAATAAGGATAAAATTCTAATGTTGATGTGAATAAAATTTCAGAATTTAGTAATATAAATGTGAATTTAGTTTGTTAATTGGTAGTGAAGATTGTGAAAGAGGACCGTAGAGTAAGCAAGGGAGAGGAAACAAAGATAATAGGCGAGATAGGTTAAGTAAGTGATCTGAGGAGATGGCAATAATAACAACTAGGAGGTCTCAAGATAAGCATCATGAACAGCTTGTCCAAGAGGGAGATGATAGTCCGTATGTGAGTACGTGATTATCAAGGGGGCTGTGGTTACCTCGGCTGGGAGAGCATTACAAGTTGCTACGACTCGCAATGAGAAAAAGTGTGCACGAATATGCGTATTCGCTCTTTGATGTGCAATCTTTCGAGGATTGCCTCGAGGGGAGTGGTGGTGATGCATCGGTAAGATGCTCACATTGGGATGGTTTGGCGTGTTTAATATGGTGTACACCATAATTAGATCGCCTCTGATTCTCCTGTAGCTCAGTGGAAATAATCACAAGAGCTGAAGTCTATCGTCGTAAGGCTTATTTTTCAACCCTATCACCCATTCGGTTGCTCGTCTCTGCACTCGATCCAAGAGATTTATGTCTATTTTAAGCAGACGGGGTGCGATGACGTTGTAAACCACAGAGTGATGGCGCGCGTACGTCTTAAACAGGGTTAGAACTTATTCTTTATGATTCTCCATATTGCAAATAACGGGTCTCCGGCACGGTAACGTGATAGCTACCAGCATCTAGAAACTATACTACCCTACAACAAACGTACTCATTCAAATCACGCGACATAAATAACTACCAACTGACTAGACTTAGTGCATTTGTTAAGTTCCACCGACTTTCGAGTGGTTTGTATACAATCGCCTTGCAATTTGATTACTTCTTGTAGTTATTTGGGAAAGCTTCTGTCCTGCTTATCCGCGCCGAATAAGAAGTACTATGGTGTAGCGCATTCGAAACGGTACTCTAACGACTAGTTTCGACTACCAGTTTGTCTTGATCTCATGCTGGCTTATTTCCGGTTGCTGTCCACTAATTTCTCTATCTAATGTTAGTGTATTCTGTGCTTACTGAGTTGTTTGCTCACCTTTTCCTCTTGTTCTTTCCTCTTTCAAAAAAAACACTGCTCCTCATATACACACACCCAGCACACAAGGTACATGCTGGCTGAACGCAAACTAACCAAGGACAGAAGTCAAAGATGTTTCGGATTTCCCACGACCGATTCAGAGCATTTCCTCGATTGGCGTGGAAATTTCGGTTAAATTTTGAGGAAAAATCCAAGACCTGAGCAAACGTGTGTTTTTTATGTTACATTTTCCCAATTTATTCAGTGGGACTGTCTCAGAATATCTCACTTTTGTCCCAAAGTTGGGAATTATATATATATATATATATATATATATATTTCACAACCTGGATTTCTAGGAATATTACGTCATCGTTACAAACTTACGTGTAGAATGTTCCACTGGTTTTTACACTGGTA